ACCAAGATTGATAAACCGGTGCCCGTTGCATCTAAACATCGTTGAAACTCACCGGTTTGTCCACAGTACCGATTCGTAGCATATAGAAAGTGTCTGGAGTTTGCTGATAAGGCCAGTGTATACAATGGGAAATGTCATCAACATGTCATCCACAAATTCACATTGAGTACCTTAACTGAATGGCAGAATCACCAATTTGAGAAAATGAAAAACCCGAATGAAAGTTTCACCGATGCTAGTCAAGTCTCAGCAATGGAGGCCTCTTCAGTTGGTATTAAGGGGACTGATTTCATGATTAAATCATAGAGTACATGCAATATATTTTGTATCCTTTCAGGGAAATTCTCTCGCTGCTCCGAATTTGCAAGCCTTCTACGGGGGTAAGACAAAGTATCCTCATCTCAAATTCCATGAAACAGTTTGATAGCCCTCATGAAATATTATGGAAAGATGAAGGTACGAAATGATTCTATTAGCGCACCATATCAGTGCTTATAACATTAATGCAAATGATAACGAAAATACTATAGTGGAGATAAGGAGTAGATCTGGTTGCAATCAATTAATTGATAAACTATGCAAAGTCCTGCGCACGAAGCCAATCGAATATTGCCCAATCGCATTTGTGAGCTATCATCTTAACCGACTTAGTTACCCTGCAACGTAAAGAAGATGTGATTCATCTGAAAATATAGCCAACCAGGGTGGAGTTTGCCAATTAATTTATGTACGCAGCGATGTGAATTACAAAAGCAAGCTTGACTCAGTGTGCTTGCTCCCCCGGATAGTTATAATGCCCGTTTGATAATTTGCAACTTCATGTTTCCAATCGAAAATTCCTAGCCCCTCCCCCTGTACTCTCTTTTCCGTTTCACACTTATTTCTGTTATTTTCGGAAAACGATTTGAAGCAAGCCAGTTTTCATCTGGAATTCTAAACGACTTGTTCACATATTTCTTTCGAACAACACGCAGTTGTCTCACACAAACATAAACAACACGTCAATAAATTCACAGATATTTAGATATCTAGGAGAACGGTAAGCAGCTTTCAAAGAAATGATAAATGTCAAACATCCATCAATATCAGCTTGCCTAAAACAGCCAAGTTAGAGATACGTAGTACAAAAATGAGCAGCAACAAACGCCAGCCTGTCAATCAGCCCTGTACAACTGTGTTAATGGCTTTCAATAGTACAGAAAACACAATTTTCAACGCACCCAATCAGAGCTGACCGAGAAACTGCGTGAGTGTAGAAGGAGAAACACATGAAAAGTGTAAAGAAGCTGAACTCTACCTGAAAGTCCCAAGCCATTGAATCACTTCCCAGTCCGCAACCGGTAATATCAGCACATTCAATGTATTGCGTTTTGTAATCAAAGCACTTGTCTCCTGAAATAGGAAATTCAAAACGGGTGGGGAAGAGGGTTGAAGGTAGCCAAAAATGAATGTGCCTTTGCTTGCGAGATGAAAACCCGCACATACAACCACAAGACAATCAGTTAGTCGGTCAGAGTGTGACAAGCAATCGGTTGTCGTCTACATGAATCATTTATAGTTGAAACGGCTGTTTGCACTGTAGTAGTTAAAGTATACACAGATCACGAATAACGAATCGCAAACGCAACGGAAACGCTGAATCTCTCTAACACTTGCACGCTGGTATCCCACGTTAATGAGAAGCAACGGAAAGGCCCCAGAAGTAGCAGTTCATTTATCGAAAGAAATCAAGGGGATTATATGTGCAAAGGAAGATTACTGGTTTTCCAGGTATCCATCAATCACCCGCTTGTGTTGTTGACGTCATACAGCCTCTGTCTGGACCGCAGGACTTCTGAGTGGTCCGCAAGATTCGCCTATGATCTGTTGTCCAGAAGCTGTAACGCGTAGGCGCTTGGCTGGCGTCATCTGGAATGGTTGACTCACTGCAGTTGTCCAGAAACTGCAACACGTCCCTCTGTGGCTAGGATCACCACATGAACACACTCAGTTTCAATTAAAAACGAAGTATTACAGTTTCTGATACTCTAATAAACTGATTTCTGAACGATCCCACCGAACAAAATTGTAATTCTATTCAAGAAAGAAACTAGAAATTTGAGTAAACGCTTATTTCATCTCACTGATGAGAGAGCACTGGACAGCTGTTTCGTCCCGTTTGGGACTTGTCAGCAGTGCGCACTTTTTGTGTCCCTGTCAGGACTCGAACCGCTCTTTGTTGGTTATCATAAACATTTCCATCGCATGGAAATGCATACAAACAGTGGGGAATAAACGATCTCCAAGGAGTGAACCCCACACCCAAAACCATCAAGAGTGCCTGTGGCCTCTGAACAATCGAATGGGCTAATCCAAGCTTGATACTCTAAATTGATTGAGCCATTCGCACAAGGTGATAACCGTCGGCCGTGTGGCTCACGGGTAAGGGTTTGAAGTTCCGACCCGACTGATTGCGGTTCGAGTTCTGACAGGAACACAAAAAGTACGCACTGCTGACGAGTCCCAAACAGGACGAAACAGGTGTCCAATGCTGTTTGTTGGTTATCACAAACATTTCCATCGCATTTAAAAAGTAATTCCTATTTGGTTTTCAAGTCCTGTTCATCCTCTTTTACCGTAGTTCTATACATTGTAATGAATTAGCTAGAGAAGACGAATCCATGAACATCAGTCTTGTTTGTTACGCTGTTATTTTTTGTCACAATGTGTGATTGCGATCTAATTGGACGATTCGAACACAATTCTTTGCTTAGCGCCCCGAGCTTTCCTTTATTCATAAACGATCAACTGAACGAACTTTCGGGAGCTAAGAGCAATGCTGTTCTCGGAAGACGACAAAATCTGAAACAGAGAAACGAACTGCGAGCTCAACGGCTCTTAATGTAACCCATTAATGATCCCTTGAGAACGAAGTTTCATTCACTATTCCCTTATCCAATCGCTTCAATACAGGGCTTGATTCCCGCATTTCCTCACAACTCACAAATGCCATATTCCTCAAGTGACAAGGACTTGCATATCATAAATCAAGAGTTTAAATGTTTGGTCGTCTAAGTCAGGTTCTTTGTGTGCAACTGTATTGAATTGAGGATTGATTATGCACCTCTTTTGTTGGTTCGAGTTAACACTGTTCCAACGTCCATAACCGGTGTACATTCGACCACACAGACAATGTCCATCTTGGTCTGAATACCACGGCTTAAAAGTTATCGGAGCATGCAGAAACGTCCACAAAGGATAGATAGCAATATGATCAAGAGATTGCATTTCTATGCCCATTGGATTTGTCACAATCCTTTATGTTATGCTTCCATCGGCACCGCCGAAGTCCGAGAAGCTTGACTTTAGTGCATCCCAATCTAACCATCCACAGAAAGAAGGGGAATAACCAACCAATCCTGCGGTCTCGATTGGCACCAACCGGATTGGCTGATTGCAAGGAGGCAAACAAATAAACCATATTGTTGTCGATCGGACATTCAAAACTCGACCAATGATTGTGGGTTGCTTGTGACATATATATGCATGATTTTCTGGAGAGAATTAACTGTATCCACAGATCGTCTTGATTGTATCTGACTTTGCGTTATTCGGTGGGTTTTCAGTCCGATTCCGAGTTCGCGCTATTCTGTTTCGATTCCTATTCCGAATACTACAGAAATACGCCAAGGAGATTCCCTTTTCTGTCTGCCGTTAATTGTTAGAAACTGTGAGAATTTTGGGAACAGAAATGAGCCACTTGATTTTACCAAATTTCAAACATAAAGTGCAAGTTCTTTGATCGCATTCGTACAGAGCGTGGTACTTATATTAGATCATTAATCAACGTTGAGGACTAGCTTATATTTGCATCTGTTCGAATTGTGTGAACATCTGCTATATATCTTAAAGTTTTCGCTCTTTTCTTTTCAGGATAAAAGGTGTCACTGAGCTTAGACTGAAGTTTCACGCGGGGCTAATTGTTTGCGGAACATGAGCGTAGCGACCCTGTGAACGACTGGATTAAAAAAAGATAGAATTAAAACAGCAGAGATTGAATAACTGTACCATACTGCAGCTAAAATTATTTAGAATAATTGATGCAACTTGACCACATCACCGCGCTATGAATAAAAAACTGAATACAAAAGTAGAGATTGAATAAATAAATCTATGCAGGTGATGAAGTGAACCATTCGATGGGATGACGTCTGTCTGGTTTATAATCCATCGTTTTTGCATTTCGAACCAGTAATCTAATAGCTGATTGATTCGTTTGAATACTTCGTTTGTTTGTATCTAGTTTTACGTATTGTAAAGCAATGAGAGTATGATCTTTGTGGGACACTGTTTCGATTAGCAGGTATGATGCTCGTAACAAATTGCCTCGAATATATCCCTTGGTTTATATCATACAGGTGTGATTGGAAGAATAAAAGCATATTTACTACATTTTGTTAGGTTACAATGGGTGGTAAAGGATGTGATCTTTTTAAATAAACTTATTAAGCACGCTCCGAGTGTTCAGTTGTTGGTAATGATTTGAGTGGGCCAGAACTATTTGTCACTCTTACATCCTCAACAAACTGTGTTTGTTCAAATGATAAATCTAGCCTTCCTACCTGCCTCCTAAATAAATCCGAACAGTAGTCCTGGTGTGAGGTCTACCATGCCAGATACATCTTATCCAATTATGTTGGAAGCGATCGTTTTCAGTAATTTCCAGTAATTTCAAAAGATAACCTATAGAATTTTACATTCTTAGAAATTTTTATCTTCTCCATTAGGAACCATGCCCTTTAAGAACACATTTTCTTCAAAACCTCGCCACCAGGGTTGCTCTTTTACGGGTAGGATATCACGAATTTGCTTTTATTGGCGTATACAGGGAAGCTTAGTTGATACCAATTTTTCATTGAAATTCTATTCATATTGGAAAAATAAAGTTCTTGTTTTATCTTGGCTTACGTTTAATTTCATGAAAAGAAGCAAAAAGAAAGATCACAGGTATGTAAACTCACGTTGGGAACTGTTGTAGAAAACACCGACAGCATCTCGGATGCCGGAAATGGGATCTTTCGCCGCGAGAGCTGCCTGACAAGAGACATTCACCGGATAGGCTGGCAAATCACCCATGAACGATGCTTCGGTCGGATAATCCATCATAGTCATCATGACAAACGCATTACGGGACCACTTGAGCATCCACTCATAGTCTTCCTTAGTTTTCATCGATTCGCACAAACGGAGTTCTTCCGAGAGTTTCTTTAGACCTATAATTATGAGAGGAGTTTGTAACAGATAAGTGTAGACCAAGTGCCTCCTGGGGTCACCTGTCATCCAACTTTGATAGCGTAAGGTTGCTTAAAAACAAGATAACGTATTGTCTGAAGACCAACATTGTAATGTAAGATGTTTTGCACGTTGCTATGTTGATCCGATTTCTGACGTTGCACTTTGTGATATTACAAAATAGTTTTTATATTAAATTGAAGAGGTGCTCGAATAGATCAGCTCAATGATGGCCATGGTTGAAACTTGTTGGAATTAAGATGTATGGAATTAAAAAGAGACGAGAGAGACCGAGAATACTGGGATCACTAAACATTGGAGTTAGGAGCGATTTAGTGGATCGAATGACTGCCACGATAAACTAACACAAAAAGATCAAAACGTTTACAATGAATGAATTATCAATGAATTATCCGTCGTAAATTTTTAACGTAGATTTCACTCTGTGATGGAAATGTCTGTGATGACCGACTAAGAAATCTGGGCAGCTGTTTCTTTCTGTCAAGAGTACCTAGTACCTCTGAATAATCAAATGTGTTAATCCAAGCTTGATACTCTAAATAGATTACACTCTGTTGTTGTGGTGTTGGCATCACGCTTACCCGCAAGCCGGTGATCTTTGCATATATGTATAGGGTAATCTGACACCATACTTGCAAGGCGTCTGGAAGACTCCTGTTTCGGGATATCTACTATTAGGTATTCTAGTTTGTTCACTGTATACATTTGAAAAGCTTTTCGTCTATGATCTATGAGCCCTTTAAGAGGACAATAAGAATTGTGTAGGAATAATTGATATATGTACAGCGAAAACTGCTTCCTTTGACACATCTCTACCACGATTACCCAGCTTGGTTGGATGAACAGCATATAAAAATTAGAAAAATCAGCACATTAACAAACAACGGCTACAGGTAAAGCGGTTCATGTTTATCTGCCGGCTACCAGGTATTATAACACGAAACCGGGGAAACGGGGACTGTCTTGTTCTTTCGGATGAGCGTATCGTTAGACGCAACGAGGTAAAAATAGATGTGAGCTGAGTTAGCTCCATTCGAGTGATATACCTTATTTGAACACCAAAATGCACCCAACTCCGCTATTTATTAAACTAATATTCTCCATTTCGCCCCTTTTTTCTGCGTTCCTTTGTTCGCAATTACAACTTCCCGGTCCCAGTCACACTTGTTAGCAAGGAGTATTTCACATGTTCCTCACCATGAACACAATGGACAATGAACTTCATACTAGTTCTCTTTCTCCCGATTCGCGCTACTGAGTGGAATTTTTGATAATGTATCCGTAGCTTTTTTGATTTATAATATACGGACCATTTTCTAATATCGCCCAATGTAGCATAGGAGATGCGATCAAAATACAAGACCTTTGCAAGCTCACACTGGAACCGTTATTCAAATTACTTTTAAGGATTATCATGCAAATATAGGAACTCGATTCAGAATATTAAAACTGCATTAGGTCAAGTGAAGCTCTCGACTATCGATTCGTCAATTCTGCTAGCGTAACGATTTCAAAATCCATCGTCCAAAGGTTTATTGATTTCGGCTTCCTTTCTTGCATTGGTTAGTAATTTGAGTACGTTCGAAAGAATAGAGCTTAACGGTCGAATTGCATCTAGTCAAGTAAAAAGGTTCTGAAAGTATTGAATTAGCACCATTCCGACTAGATTAGGTTCTGTGGCTGATCATTCTGAACATCCTCATCATACGTTATCGAACAGTCACAGGGAAAAGAACGAGAAGCACTATGGGTGGCACAGAACACACTGTCCTTTTGGGCATTGATACCGAAGAAGGCAGTGTGAATGGACAACAAATAGCAACCAGAATGCTACTGGCAAGTCACCATATCGTACAGTATCTGCAACCGACTGATTATAGGAACTTGTGGGTTGGAAACACTCACCCTGACTAATCCTTAAACACCACTGTTAATATGTTGTTTCCGTCGACTACCACGCAGATTTCCTCAACCTGTGAGGGTTGTCGCAAACAACAGGCGGTACAGTAGACAAGACCTAGATGTACGGGGAGAAACCTGCTTGTTAGAACTTTCTACTTTCCAGTGAAATAGTCTTTGACATGTAGCGGCTTTTCCCGGAGTTTCCGACTTAAGCGCTCAGTCTCATTTGAACCAGTCAGTACACAAATATCGACAGCCAACGGCCTTCAGGATGTCCACCTTATCTGAAATCAGTCCGGCCTCAGACACGCGCACGGCCAT